CCGCCCGCGCGCCCCCCCCCCCCCCCCCGCGATAATCTTGCGGCCATTCTGATGCTATTTAATAAGTTAGTCCCACCGCAAAGAAGACGCAACACTTCACCGTTGTGAAGATCAGTTTATTAACACTGTTTAAGAAAATAATAGCTGCTTGCACTGATAATTGTACTAAACATAAAAAGTGTAGACTTTTATAGTGTCGAGCAGATGGGGCAGATGTGCACCACAAGGCTTTAAAGGCTTAACTAACTCCACTGAGCACAATCCTTGAGAAGCTAACAGCACGCTCAGCTAGACAAGAAATTCCCTTCCTTTTATGGAACTCGAACATTCATTACTGTGTTCACAAAAGCCCGCCAGATTAATTCAATCTATACCCCAAACTTGACACTGTGTTTTAATACCCCCACCCCCCTTCGAGCAGCATCGAGTTGTCTGTCGGGTGTTCTAGTTTGAAGTTTGAACCAATGTCACATACTCATTTCTGGCTTTTCCACATTTGCTACACGTCTCGCTAGTTCATACTTCTTCATTTAATGACCCGAGCACACACTAATAAACCGAAACGCAACTCTCACTTCCCGCCTCCTGGTAAAAACTCCTTTTAGAAGATAAGTTGACTTTATAGTTTTGTGGAGAGATAATTCATTCGTGTTGGGAAAACCTTGCAGCGCTTGGCTGTCATTCATGCCGTGTGAATGCTGTATTCTGGTTCATTAGCGAACGTCCTGTAGAATTGGAGGATCGTAGGTCCAGAGTCACGACGCTGTATTCGCAAACATCATTCTCAAATCAAGCATGCGATAGCAAGTAGGTTGTGTCAGGAAGTGTTACTGAGAACTCAAAATGGCCCCGAGTAAAACCTCAAGCCCTTGCGGTTGTATAGTAATTTGTGGCATGAAATACAAGCTTTGTTACAGCTTGCAAATCCATTGTATCTTGTACATAATTGGCTGCCGGTCTAACGGTGCTACGAGATGAAATCTAATCATAAAAGTGGATTCAAACTTCAGTTGTACCAGCCATTATCGCCAGCGAGAAGTGCTTAAAGACTGAATGACTGGCATGTTAGTTGATTGATCGGTTATTTTATGACAATATATTAAACACAAAGTTGAATAGCGTTTATATAATTTCAGTTCGGAACGCGTTTCTTTTAAAAAGCAATTGATACAAACTTCAATTTATAAAATAAATTCTCAAATAAGTATCTTGTCCACATGATTTCTCATCCTTTGAAAAACTATCTTTATGTTACAATGAAATTTTATGAGAGAAATACTTCTTTTAATGTCATTGCATTGCATTGGCTAAGCTTACGTGGTTTAAACGGGATGTGGTACGGCGGTCGTGAAAATGACTAGGGGGTGAGGGGGAAACCGCTACGACCTGTTTTAAGACACTTGTGCCTGATTTGACTGAAGTAAAGTATGAAGAACATCAGTCTCCGTCTCTGATTCAAGTGCAGTTCCTGACAAATGCGAGACAGAATCGTGAACTGTGTGCCATCTGCTCCACTCTGACAGCCTGAATAACATTTTAGTGAATCGGCTCTATAAAAATGCACCACGGAGATTTTTGACAGTAATTCATTAACGTCGTAATACCTCAGTGACGTCATTACTATGCCGTTAAGCGTAATAAATTATAACCGAACACATTCCCCGAAGGAAAATTTTATGAATGAGGAATAAAGGGAATTAGGTCGAAAGGGTCATACACATAGCAATATTTTATGCAGTCCCAAAGATTTCGGTTATTCAAAATGAAGACAAACTTTTTTTTTGTAAAGAATTCCTGAGGTAGACAGGAATTTGTCTGAATTAACTTCTAAAGTAACAAGAAACAACGGATGTTGGGAAATGCATATGTGGAGCTCTTCAGAGGCATTAAAAAGTTGTTTTGCTGTGAAAATACAGTTAGAAATGAACGAATTTGACAGAATTAGTCTGTAAAATAGCTTATTAACAAATATTTGCAAAACAATTGGGCTGTAAATAAAATCTTCTCGGGCAATCAGCCGCGTCAACTGGTTACCATCTGAGTCACATCAGAACCCTGATGATGGGGCAGAGTTGGTTTCCGAAACATTGGTTTACTACGGTAACCAGTTGACGCGGCTGATTGCCCGAGAAGATTTTATAGATTGTACTCGCCGCGAAAGTCTCAAATCCTATATAATTGGGCTGTATTTAGTTAGATTTAATCTTCTTCCTTCTGTGCTGCAACGCTGTTGTCTGTTAGAAAGTACAGAATCGTACACTGATCTACGAATAAAGAGAAAGGAGTGGGGTAACACTGCTAGGAGAGGGGAAAAGTAGGAGAAGGTGATAGATGCCAATGAATGAGAACAACATGGAGAAATGTCTCCTGGCATGAGTGGGACAGGAGACTGCAATATAGCAAACCAAGTCAACAGCCTCGCAAAATAGGAAAAGTTACAATAATATTGCTATTGCTTTTGCTTGCGTACTGACTGAGACGAAGTCGTTCTGCCACACTGGTCTCCCCACATAACCTGCACCAAATTCTGACAAGTAAACGAAGATCACGGATGACCTGCATGCCCTTGAAGAGATAATGTGGTAGTGGTCACCGAGATATTAAATACGACCGGATTTCCTAACTGGATCAAACAGTCGATTAGAAGATTCCAAACCATCTTCAAGGCGAAGGAAAATCAGCCTACTCCATGAGTAGTCCACAAGGTCACGTACTGTTATGAAACACCGAAGTCCATCACCTGACACAAAATCCAGTCACTGAGTATCTGAAACAATGAAATTCACATTCCAAAATCTGTTGTCTCTTGCACATTTTAATCTCCTCCTTTCAGTCCATCTAGAATCACACCCTCTGGTAAGACCTAGTTTAGATTTAAGCATGAACCAGTAACATGTCATAGGAATGGGGAACCAGCCCAATGCAAGGGCACTATGATGTTTAAAAACGCATTCATGCCCCGAGCCGAGCCAATTTCGGTCTTCCACGACCGAGCGGCTACAAGCATACATTTTACTTAGGGATTGTAGGACTGTCTGCCATCTTGATGACTGTCAAATATGATGATAGAAATAATTTACTTACGAGGCAACAGACGGAATGTGAATTCACAAACGTTTCATTATTCTGAGGCATTTACTTTGCTGAAATTAATTTTATACAAAATTTCGAATAAACAACATAAATATGGCAAATCAAAAACTTGATGTTATTCGTCAATTAGCTGTAGTCTTGTGAATGATTTCCCCGATATAGAATAATTTTAGTGAATTTATAACAGCTGTTATAAGCCAATGGTCCTTCCAGAAATCCCAGACTCCTTAACGCTGTGCTTCCTCGTCTGTGCATTTGCAAAAAGTATCATTAATAATTGTTAACAGCAGTAATATCGACTCAACTGCAAAAACAAGTCGAGTTCTTACATGAAGTGTAAACAATTTCAAAAGAACCAGAAACAAACTTTTTCCAGGCCGTGTCTCTTCCGAGCTCTTTGTTACATCACGCGACTTGAGGTCCTGACACATGTAATAAACACAGGTATGTAAATATTCAATTTATCTGAATAACGGACCTTAGGTAACTGCAATATTTACATAATTTTTGTAAATAAAAACAGTGGCAAAAACTGGTTTGATTTGAAGCTTATGTTGGGGACCAGATTCAACTGCAGGAAGCAAAGGACACGATTAAAACAACGTAGTTGGAATCTGCTTTATACAGACTGTCTTAAACTCGTGATACATTAAATATTTCATCGAAATACATTTACTTATTTTTAAGCAGAGGTATGTTTGCTGTTTTGATAAATCACACATTTATTTGCGACAGTTCTCCAGCTTAATTATGCCTACGTCACGACACAAGACCATGTGACGGGAACATCAAATGTTCTCGCAACATTTGAAGAAAACAACCCAAGCAGGATAAAGTTTAATTCCAGAATCTTCTAGAAACATTATAAAAATATTGTGGCACAAATTGCAAATGGAAGTTTCGCGGTGAAAGAGGAAGTTTCTTCAATGTAGAAAAGTTACAAACTCATTCGGGTGATGAAGGTAAGTGACCTACCCTATGATTTCCAGAGAATAGTTCGGAGAGGGGTATTTGGGTATATGGCTTCCTATCCAGCGTGAAGTTGGGTTTAAAACCATTTCAACGTAAAACCCGTTTCAAAATTGATACTTATTCCGTGACATGAATGTGATATGTTTCATATTAGCCTAAAACATTATAATTAATATGTTATCTAATCAAAAACAGGCCCTGGTAGTCTTCCCTCTTACAATCAGTTTTCTTAATTTATTTTATATTAATCAATTGACTGTTCTACAGATTTCTTGCTCCAGATATCAATCTGTCATAAGGCATCCACCTACGAGTAACAACTTCGATAAAAGCGGGCACAGTTCTACACTTCGAAAGAGATTCGAACCTGGAATCCCAAAGTTCGAGTAACCCAGCATTGGAAAGTTTCTTAGAACGCGCGATGCATGTGCTCTGAGCCCCATTTTCTCTCCAGCCTAAACTCCTGATGCATTTCGGTGGAAGATGGGTACAGAACTTGGAAACGTCAATCATTATTCAGAAAGCCAGAAAATTTTATTCAAAATGTTCCGTGGAGCCTTATAGTACCTGCAATACAAATAAACAAGCCTAAAATCGAGGCAACCTAACAAGTGTTTCCAGGCATAAAGTAATAGTTGGCGGCATCAAACAACTCACAGACCCCATTTCGATCAGCAACTTTTATCTAAAACACTTTCCGAATGGCATCGGATAACCTACTTATAGAAAAATAATGTAGACAGTTTACGCAAGCATACATTGGGGGGGGGGGGGGTGGGGGGGTGTGGGGGATATGATTACCTTACCAGAATTAGATTTTTAAGTACAATGATGAATTCATTCTCTTTATTAAATATGGATATCTGAACCGTCCAAATTTTGTATTAGCCAAAAATTCTGTCATTCAGCATCGTCACGGAGTGGTTATCACACCTGGTTTGCATTCGGGAAGTCCTGTATTCGGTTTTCGACTTGGAAGTTGCTTATGACATGCCGCTCTCAGTTCTCCCACGAGTATGCTGTGGCAGTATCACACCTTGCCCCCTTCCACATCATTCCCAATTAATCGCTCTCAAATATCGTAACAACAGTTGGTACGAAAACTGAGCATCTAAGTGAGCTTAGATAAGTAAAATATGAAGGACAAGTGGAACAATAAATTTTGAAAACAAGAACGAAGGTGAAGAAACCAGGACAACTGTACTTCTGCATACATCCACGATGTAAGGACCAGTTAATAAGAAAGGAAGTCGCTTTTTACTTATTTTATAGACTAGCTTCAGAAAATAATTGCTTCCCTTGAACGTTTCCTCCTTTTTTTGCCGTAACATCACTCCTAATGTATAATGATGTAAATTACAATAAACCAGTGTGTGCCATATAACGGAACAGAATAACATAGAAAGCTGTCCACTGACGTAATCGCTGAAATACGGAAGGCGCACCCAACAAGCTCCGTATATATCAATTTTAACTTGCCAACAAGAAAATAAAATAAAAGAACATAAACCACGATTCTTAGAGTCCTTGCATGCAACCACTTTAAATCAGTCGGAAATCAAATCAAGATTAATTTCTACATTAATGTGTCTAGTTTTGATTGGGAAACATGCAGAATTCCAAAGTCGTTTCTCTTTTCACCTAGACAATCTTACGTAAACACCGTAGGAGTATGACCTCAGGAGCATTTCAGCACAGTTTCATGTAATGCCATACCTTAATCCTAGTTAAGCTACACGGCATGTCAGTTTCATGTTTGCAGATAATTCATTGTCTAAGTTTAACATGTCTGTGATACCTTACGGCTAATCAGGCGAGGAGATTCGTCTGTGTACAGAACAAACATTTGTGTTATGTTTTAACGAGTATAAATGTGCAATGTGTACGGTCATCAAAATCGAGACTTATTACGCATTAGCAATTTCAAGTAGTGCCCCATTTTGAATCCATAAATAAGTAGGAATTAGTCAGGTAATCCGAGAACGACGTCCCGCGCCGTAGCCGCGCGGTCTGAGGCATCATGCTTCGGACCGGCGATACGGAATGCGCGCTGGTTCGAGTCTCGGGGAAAGAAATTTCTCACGAGATTTTCGACCGGTGTATGGTACCGATGCCAACCCAGCATCGTGAGGAAATTGGGGAGCTACAATGGGTAGCGTAATCCGGTCATAGAAACTAGCAATGGCTGGGGGTTCGTCGTGCTGAGGCATGTGAACGCGAGGCCAGCAGTCAAGCTAGTCGGCTTTGGCTCTCTGGAGCTGTTACGCCACGGATTTAATTTAATTTAAATCCGAGAACGACTCGTTAACTTCCAGTGTTCTTGGCGCCTTTCAACCCCGCGAAAGGACACCAGCGTTTAACTAACGTAGCTAATGTGAACGGCGACAGCTGGATCGGGCCACGTGGTTTAACCATTAGGTACTGTCGGAGCTGTCTATTTTTAACACAAAACTGCATTAGCAGTTATCGGGAGTTAAATCTGCAGGGAGCGTTCCTAGAAAAAGATCATGGCGTTTGTTCCACTCTCCGGAGGTGTCTCAAGATTATAAATGAGTTACCGGCATTAGTAATGCTTATATTTCAAAATGTTGGTTAATTTTGTTCCCTTACAACCTCAGATACTTACTCAGATACTTGCACAACTATAGTTTTCTGTTGTATATTCCACTTTATATGCACGCGTTGAGTTATACTGGCAACAACGTCAAGTCAAAAGTCATTAGTATTTTATATTGAGGGTAGTAATTACAGTTTTCAGTTAAATATTTAACCCCAGATTATGAACGCACGAACTATATTGCTGTCTTACATCAAACGTTAACACAAAACGAGAAAGAAAACATCGAAAACGCATGTCTTTTCTCACTGGGAAGCTATTTTAAACGAAGATTAACAAATTAATTGAACAAGTGCAAAAACTGACTTTAATTCTTGAGAACCCCAACAATAATTGTAGGAGAAACGACAGGATAATTACAAACGAAAATTTGAGAAGACTATCGAAATAATCGTGAATTATGTTAATTTTCCAGAAAATGGTGAATAAAACCGACAAAACCTAGGGTTCTCCATGTCCCAGTAGAGAATCGAACAAGATAAAAATCGGATATGATTAATTATTCAATTGATTTACGAATCTCAAAACTGCAAATGTCAAACACAAGCTATACTGTCTAATGCGACTGTAAATTTATGATGAATGATGAGTAGGTTATGGAGACGGTTGACCAAATTGAATACAGGCATACCTCGGAGATATTGCTGGTTCGGTTCCAGACCACCGCAATAAAGCGAGTCACACGAATATTTTTTGGTTTCCCAGTGCATATAAAAGTTATGTTTACACTGTACTCTAGTCTATTAAGTGTGCAATAGCATTATGTCTAAAAAGAGAAAGCGAGAACATTGCGAGAATTACCAAAATGTGACACAGAGACACGAAGTGAGCACATGCTGTTGGAAAAATGGCGCCGATAGACTTGCTCGACGCAGAGTTACCACAAAACTTCAATTTCTAAAAAAACGCAATATCTGCGAAGCGAAATAAAACGAGTTACGCCTGTATACTATCGCAGGAATCACATGGTCGATACTTAGGAAAAGTAAAGTCTCAATCAGGACACACAGTAGTTCGAATGTCATTGGAATTGGCTGCAACCGACAACCTGATGCTAGAATACAAAAAAATGTTCTCACCATGAACTGCGTACAGCGTTATAATGTTCGTTTCCGTGGGCGTACACCTTATACTCGTCTCTATCTTTTAATAACTGCGTTTTAAAAATTCGACCATCTATCACCAGTGATTCCAAGAAATCCATGCTTGTTAAGTTCAGAGGCCAACATCAGCGTAGGATGAAAACATGCTTTAATTTCTTTTTCCTG